CACGGAATGCAATGCGATTTTTTACGTCAGAAAAATTTTTTTTTGCAAAATTGCAGTTTCTAAAGAGAACAATTAAAAACGTATTGAATGACGCTGATGTTTTATTATGTTTTTAAAGATTTTGCGATAACTAAATGTCATTACTTAAGATACAACTTGATAAAAGAAAGTTTCTGATATCTGATAACTAATATCTGTAAAGCCTGAAAGTAGACGTGAATAGTGATCTAGCTTGCATAAGAAAGTCTTACTTGTAGAACAAATATGTATATGCAAATAGAAAACCTGCATTTCGAGTATATGATACTTTAGAACATTTAATTGTGATCCTTTCGATTCGTAGATATATTCTTAGAATAATAAATTAATATTCTTAAAACAATGTCCTGAATCTAATTAACTTATTCTTCCAATAGTTCAGATATATTAATTAGAAAATTTTTTAAATTGTTTTAGAATTCTTGAGCAATAAAATAAAAAAAGATTACCACACCACTTTATTTTTGAATTATATATTTTTTAAACGAAAGTTAAAAATAAAACTTAAGAAATGAAAATACAAATTAAAAAATATCTTCTATCATATAACGTACTATAACAGTTTTTATATAATTCTGTTTGCAATGATTAACTTTTTCGTGTGATAAAAAATAAGTGTCTGATAGTAATACAATATACAGTAATGCTATTTATAGTAATGCATTTCTATTTTTTCCTTTTTCCAGAAGTATCTGTACAAAATACCTACAAGTGATATGATATATATTATAAGAATTTCCAGAATTCTTTCACTTCGATGTAAAAATGTTGATTTGTATGCATACTTTATTATTGTTCCGCAAGACATAAAAATGTAACGTGATCGTTTTTTTAAGATTTTTTTCATAAATACAGAAATGCCTTCAACTCTGATAGGACTATTTAACACAATAACGTAACTGTATAAAGATTAAAGCTTATGATCTGTCATCGTATGAGAAAAATATGAAAGAGAAAATATAAATAAAACAGATGCAGGAAATTACAAACACGTAAAACGATCTGACTTATCGATTTAAACGATCTAATGTAAATATAATAAATCTTATAAATAACGTATTCACTGTTATTTAAACTGCGCACTTTGCAAAAGAAATTGAAAAGAATTTTATTTTCACATTTGTATAATTCGTTTTTAACCGATTTTATACATATATATAGAAATAAGCAAAATAACATTTATATATAAATATATACATTATAGGTTTCTACTTCTTTAGTCATCTAAATAGATCATATTTTTATTAATATAAATAAAATGTAATGTTTATAGAATTTCGGAGAAATAAGAAGATGTCTTTTTAAGAGACCTATATCAATATCGGCGATTTTTCTCTAATAAATAATTTCGTTAAAGAGTAATTTTTCGTTAAAGAGAATTTATAAGTAATGACAAACAATGAGATTAAATATAATATTGAGTTGAAAATTAAAATACATTCTAACGGATTAAAACGCGCATGTAAGATCTCCTACGATATCGCGTTGCTGCCTGTAATTATTATTTTGTGTTTCGCTGCCTTGCAATTTTACCATCCCATAATCTTCACATTAAGTTCTATTAGAGCGTACCGGAATCGCCTCAGGTGGTTGCCCGTTACGCAAAAAGTAACCGTTGTTGAATGACACACCAAATAAAGAGAGACTATACTCATTCCGGAAAAACGAGAAAGCTGGGAACTACGTGACAATGATTACGTATCTGCAAATTCCAGAGATATAAGTGAGAAAATTGAAATAAAAGATATCAAAACTCGTCGCCAGGTGTGACTCTGTACGAACACTATGAACGATTGTTATCGATATCGCGATGATGAGATACGGTTATTACAAACTTCCGCACTTCGCATTCGTGATTAAAATCGTGTTACCGTGAATGGTTCTTGAAAACGTTAAGTGTGCTTGCTAATTGCAAGCGTCAAAGTCAAAATGTATTTGTAAATTCGAAGAAATTACGAAATGAAAAAAGTTTCTCAACCATTCGGGTTAAATTGTTTATCTAAATGCTGGATAATGTGCACATTCTGTCCTAAGTTTTGTAAATATAATACCTACACATATAACTATCAAAGCGAATTCTGTTTGCCAATTCTATAATGTCTGCATTTAATATATTAAAAAAAAAAAATACTTACATTAAAAAAAAATACTTACATTTAGATGAGATAACGCAGGAAAAAAACGATGACGAGAAAAGAAAGTAGATACCAGACGTAAACGCCGTGAAAGAGAGAAATCAAATACAAAAACTATGACAAATAAGTGTAATGGTACGATTTAATAGCGAATACTTTAACTCCCGTGTTTATTCGAAGAGGAGAAATTGCATATTTTACAATCGATAAGAGATGCTGCAACAGCTTGAATTTTCGTTTAATACTTCTTTCTTGATTCATAAATTTTAGTCTTAAAAAATTCACGTTGAGGTTTCCGTTCAATCTCATCAGAGAAAAAAAGAAGAATCATTTAATCCATTTTTATTTGAAGCAAATCTTTTCGTTTAACGTTAAAGTTTGTAATTTGTAAAACATATTAGACTTGAATATAAATAGAATCATAATATGCATGATATGAAGGTAAATTAAAAAAATTTGTGTAATATTTACACAAAAGAATACAAAAAAACATATATTATTATATATTTATCTTATGAAGAATAGATGCAATAATAAACAAAATTAACAAAGTTTAAGTAAATTAAATATACTAGTTGTACGTTCAACAGCGTTATTTAAGGTTATTTTTACAAGATTTACAGTTTTCATGTTCTAGAATTTACCTGAACTATTAGAAAGTAAGATCTAATTATGTTTGTTAAAGGGTTATGATGAGACTTACGCTGGCATGAAGTGTTTCAATCGCGTTGTACCCTCGCGGAAATAGAGAAGTCGACTAGAGAACGAGTCAATCGAGGAAACGTTATAAACTAAGATACGATTAGAAAAAAACGTATGTCGCGGATTCACTGCGAAATAAATACTCGTGTGAACGTGTCTTGCATATCGATCAACAATGTTAATCTTCCACTAACCTTATTGAACAGCGAGAGATAATCGACAAAAGGAATTGCTGAAGGATCGCAGCGATGACAGCGAACAGGTAGATAGGTAGTCAGTCAAGACGAGCGAATGCACACTGGCAGATACTCAGGCAAATAGGCAGGCAATCATTCAGGTGGACATGAATATCGGTAGGTATGTATATATATATATATATA